TTCATTTCAAAAATGTTGATATGTGCTAGGGAGTCCGTTGTCAGCTTGCTTCTAGTCAACGTCCGAGGGAGGGAGCCACCAACAGCCTTGCCAACGGGTGGTTTACTCTTGGCAGCTGCTGCCTCCCGAGCGTTCTGTCTGTCAAAAAGGATGTGTACAATGAGGGTTTTGACTTTTGGTTTTATAAATTTTGTAGTGGTTGATCAGCATATTCATTCCCTATGTACTTTGCTGAGAATATGGTACTTTTCAGCGCCCTTTTGGAGTTTGGCTCGAACTAATCGAACGGCTGATTGCAGAGAAAGCGTGCCATCGGACATCGGATGCTCGTACATCTTGAATAACGAGGCATACTGCGTGGCGGAAACAGCGCGCATCGGTTGTGAGCCCGAGATTAGCTATGCTTCGCCGGTCGACTGCCTCATCCCGTCAGCTTACACATTTGTGATCAGTTGCGGTTAGCGTCGGTTAATTCTTTGTCTGGTTCTTTCCCTGTTCATGTTTGCGTGCTCATTATTTTGCGAACGGCTTTCGTGCTTTTTTTATAGTAATTTATAAAAAAGAAGGAGCCATTTCTCAGGACGAGGAAATGGTCTTTTTACTGTATGTTAAGGATTTTAGCAGACATGAAGCAATAGCGGTACGCTTATTTTGCTGAAAGTCAGTCCTTAACCCTGTGGCTAGGACAGCCAGTCCCTCTACGATTCGTTCATTCGTTCCAAACAGAAACAGACCCGCGTATGCCAGGGATGTTAAAATTGTTATCAACCTGCTTTTAAATAGTTTTCAAAAAAGGGACCAGCAGTAATTTTGATAGCAAGTGGATGCTGTTGATACGTCCCACTTAGTGTCTCTGTCTCTCGTAGTAAGTCAACTTTCAAGGAAGTTTTGAGTGCTCTATCTCCTGTGTTTTTCATACATACTTCTTCAAAAATCCTAGCAAAGCTGTCGAGTTCCTTCATCTTTACTCAAAGACACACATATGTGTGTACTACAAATATGAACACACCATAAACGCACGTTTTCGATTTATGTAAGGATACATAAAATGGCTAAATTGTGTCAGGGAGGAGTTCGACACAAAGCTAGGAGATGCTGGGCTGCATTACAGCGCAGCAGTATATATTGGGAAATTCGTAATTTAAGTGAGATTAAAATGTTTCGGTCCATTAAGCTGTATGTATCTTAATTTAGCACCACAGCCAGAGCTCGTCTGTGCAACGGTTTTGTCATAAATCAGTACCCGAGTCCAACATAAGCGCCTTTTTAGCGATGCCGTTCCTGG